TGTTCTACCAAAGCATCTCTTATGAAGGTCACCAATGACGCTTCCATTGTCAGATGATTGGTTATTTCCTGTCTTCATCTGCCCATCTCAGCTTTGCTCAAGCATTTCCCTGACTCTGCCTGGGGGCGTGGATATGTGTGCTTCCTCTTCTCTTCTGCCTCCCTTACCTGCTACCCTTCCCTCAACTCACGAAGACTGCGGCTCCGAGCCAAGTCCTCCTTTCTGACAGAGCTTGCTCTCCAGGCATTATAAGCCAAGCCATAGCTTCCAACCCACTACCCAGAACTTCCAAATTTGCTCCTTCACCTGTTACTTTTAGATTTATGGACCAAATTACCACTCCATGTCTTCACTTGCCTATCTATGGGACATTTTTTAAAATTGCCACATCCAAAACAATAGTCTGGGTGTTCCTCCTAAATTCTGCTTCTCCCACCATCCTTCCCATCTCTGTAAATGTCATCTCCATCCTTCTGGCTGCTCAGGCGAAAGACCTTGGGGTCACTCTTGGCTCCCACACCTCATATCCAAGCCACAGCAAACCCTCTTGAGTCTGTTTCCTAAGCGTTTCTTCAACTCAACCAACTCTCAGCCCTCCATCAGTGCTTGGCTCACGGTTCCTCTCATCCAGTGACCCACACAGCAAAACTCCCTCTTCTCCCCTTGGACTCCCCATGGCAGTCTTCTCTAAGAGGCTCTGGGTGGCCACAGCATCTCATCCCTCCACCCATAACCTCCCACTGGCCAGAGTTTACACAGGGGAAATGTCCTAGTGTCTTTATGGCCTCCCGGACCCCCATAGCCCTAGTCAGACCACAGTCCTGCCTCTCTCCTCTCCTTTTTTTCTTGCACACTTCCTAGAATTCACAAGCTGCTCCAGCTCAGGCCCCTTTCACTCATTATCTCTCTGACTAGAATAGATCTCCACACCTGCGTGTAGCCTGAACCCTCAGTACCTTAGGGTCACTATTCAAATGCTCTTCCTCAGTGAGGAACTCCTTGACCACACATAAAATAAAATAAAATGCATTCTGTTTCTAGAAGCTCCCAATTATTTGTTCTCTGCTTTGTTCTTCCCCTCACCACACTGTTCTGTAACAGTTCTGCATCTTCCATCATCCATTCTGAGGGCTGGGGGATTTGTCTGTTGTATTCATGGGCTGAATATCTGTCTTAGAACAGTGTTTGGCTCTAGCGAGCCTTTGTTGGATGAATGCAAACATAAATGATAGACATTTGGGTATTCGGAACATGCCAGTCTTTTGCTACTAAAACAAATGCTGTAGCAACCAATACTGAGTACTAACCATTTTGCTTATATATGACTATATTTGTTGGGAAAGGACATGAATGTTCATAATTCCGACTGTTTGGGAGTTTATATGACTAAAAAAACTCTCCATAATTCACCATTATATATTGGGCAAATTACATGAGAATTGCATGGCACCCCATGTTGACTGGTTTTGTCCTTGGATGAAAGAAATGATAAGGGAAAGCTGGAAATTGCAAGTAGTTAACTAGCTGTTAACATCAGTTACTATCGCATCAGGACTAGAGAGTCATCACAGCATCCTGGTCACACAGCACACCAGATCCACTAGCTCTCTGCTTGCAGACAGGGACAGAAAGGATAGGTCCTATAGCCTGGATATTTTCTGATGTTTAAAGAAGTCTAAGGAGGAAGAAGGACCTCTCACATCATCCAGCATAGTATAAAAAAGAGTCTGAGATGCCTTGCTCAAAATTTTCTTGGACTTTGTTCAGGGATTCGAGCGGCATGACCTCTTGGGATATTGTTAATATTGTAATTCATAGGAATGAATGAAACCGTGTTCACCCTGGGCAGCTCTGGACCGTGACCTGGTGGTACTCTATGGCGCCAAGAACTTTAAATGACCCCAGAGATCTCGTATCTCCCAGTCCTGAGCTACAACAGTCACCTTTCTGCAATGGTCCTCAGCCTGACAGACTATCAGATGGCTGTTGCTGAGAGTGAATTCATGTTTTGCTGCACAGAACAATCTGGGGGCATCTGTTAATAGATCTCCAGGCAAACAGCACAGGCTGCCTGGGTGCCCTTGGTAGGAGAGTGTCCAAGTCTTCTTAGCCACCCCTCCTTGCCCAATACAAGCCTTCAGAGTCAGGTGCAGGAGCTACACAACACATGGCTCAGTGGACAATGTCAAGATGGGTCACAAAGATGTGACCTGGAGACTAGCAAGTCAGATGAGCCATGAGTTACATCATGCTGGTTCTTGGGGACTTGGGTCCTTTATGGGTTTCTAGGTTTAATTTTACATCTCAGAAGATTCTGCAAATGCCAAGGTAGCTTCACATGGCTTCTGGAACATCCAGGAAATGGTTTGAGAAAGGGAGTGGCTCTGTTGTTCTATGAGTACTTAAGCTATATCCATCTATTGGATGGGCAAAACTGAAGTTATATACCTGGTGTGCATGCCCGTGGATACAATCACTTGGAAAGTATTTTTGGCAGAAAATTTGCATACCCTTTGAGACAGCAATTTTTACTGTATTTACTCTAGAGAAACTTGTTCAAAGACTTGGGTAATAATGTTTAGTATTGCCTGTGCTAGCTTTTATTGTCAACTAGACACCACTAGGAAGAAGAAATCTCAACGGAGAAACCACTCAGATCAGATTGGCCTGTGGACTTGGCTGCAAGAGATTGTCTTGCTTAATGATTGATGTGGAAGAGCCCAGCCCACTGTGGGCAGCACCGTCCCCAGGCAGAGAGATCTGAGCTATATACTAGACTCTGAGAGTGAGCTTCTGCCTGAGCTCCTGCTCTGACTTTCCTCAATGACCGATTGGGACTTGGAAGTGTAAGATGAAGTCAACCCTCTCCTCCTTAAGTTGTTTTCGGTCATGCTGTTTATCACAGCAATAAGAAAACTAACCAGAACATATCCTTATCGGTAATAGGAAAAACTGGCAACAACTTAAATGTCTACCAAGTAGAGAACCTTTTAGGTTAGTTCTGTGGTAAAATATTATACCACACTGAAAATAGATGAGCTATAGCCTACATGTCAGTATAATAATAATAATAATAATAATAATAATAATAATAATAAAAGCATAGTGTCATGCAAAATCAAAAGTGAGTCATTGAAGGATACATGTGAAGATATGTAAACTTTAAGGATCTGTAGAATTGCTGTGTACTGTTTGTGGAAATAGGTCTACGTATAAAATCTCAAAGAATGCATTAGTGGGATAAATCTCAAATTCAGGATAACAGTTTCTGTAACCCGCTAATTTGCATACTGGAAAGTAATATTCAGGAGTCGTTCCCTGGGAGTGATTAAATCATGAGGAATCCACTCTTCTAAATGGAATCCGCACCTTTATAATAGAGGCTCAAGCTGCTTCCTTTGCCCTTCCACCATGGAATCTTCTAGTGTCTTCAGCTTGGCCCTCCCAGTTCTAGAATTGTAAGCAATACATTTCTTCTGCTTATAAATCTCTTAGTCTAAGGTATTTTGTTATAGCAGCAAGAGCAGACTGCCAATGGCTACCTTTGCGAAAGGAAATAACTATGATGTCAGAGGGCACTGAAAAGGCATCTGTAATGTTTTCCTTTTTAAAAATACCCATTATATTACTAGATATATAATTATAAGCTTGAGATATTTCAGAATTAAAGAGTCATTGCAATGGTGTCTAAATCCCATGAGGTGAACTGAAGTACTGTGTGTGCTGGGGCTGGTGGCCAAGTCCGGTGAGTCTGGGCCACTAGCTTTGGATGTCACACCAATGACTCTTAAGTCCATCAGCAGCCTATCTGGGGGGTGTTTGTGAAGCTCCGTGTTCATGTGCATCATCAGAGCATATAACATGCTCATACAGCTCAGCGAAGTACAACGCAAAGACTCAAGGGGACACCTGAGGCTGATTGTGTGACCAGGGTGACTGCTGAAGTAATTCACAGAGATGGATGGCCTTCCTGTGATCACTTACCCCAGAAGAAGCCGACTGCTTCTCTAGGAGATATTACATGCTTACAGCCCTATGGTTTGCTTTGGGAGACATAATTCCTGCTTTAGAAGGTGAGTCTTTGTGAGCATGTCTGTAGAAGTCTTGGTTGTTCAGTCTAAGGCCAGTTTGTGCAGTTATGGGTGGCGTAGGTCCTAACCATGGCCATCCTCCACACACCAGGAGCCCACTCACAATAGCAGGGCGGGCGAGTCATTGGGACTTGGGGACTTCAAACTCCATAGAATCTGGGTCTTTCTTAATCACCCTGTGTGAACTCCCTGTGAAAGGGAGTGTGTATGTGCATGTGTATACATATGTATGGTGGCACTATTGAGTCCTGAGGCTTCAAGCTCAGAGGGATCTGGAGGTGAAATTCTCAGCCCCATCAACTGGAGGCACTGACATACATTGTTTAGAACAATTTGAAATTATCATTCCCCCATAGCCTACTCATGTAGTTGTGCCCAGTGGTCTAAATGGTCACGGTCATGAGGTGGGGACAGACCACGTCCTGGAGGCTAGGTGTGCATTTGCAGAACACCTGTTTCTCAGCACATCCCTCACAGTCCCTTCACGGGCTAGTGACAGGATTAGGAAGGTGCCTGTGTGGGCTCCTTGTTTCCCTGATATGGATACAGACTGGAATTCCTGAGGTGAGTTCATCTTCTTGGCTCCTATTATCACAGACCCACAAAATGAAGACACCCCTAAAATGAATGACTGGAGCCCTATCCCTCATATTTAAATGGAACATGCCTCTGTCATCACTGTCATATTTAAATGGAATATGCCATCACTGCAGGCATACCTGGTGCTTTTCCACATCCTTGTTCACATGGTCTCCTTTGATTAATAAATCATACTGATACTTGCTGAAACCCTTCCTGCTCTGCAAAGCTCACTTCAGACAGTTGGGTTTGGGTGTAAAGTTGCACGCAGTGGAGCAGGCCCAGTGGGGCTGCCAGGGTTCCCCCCATGTGGACACCACAGAGCCTTACCTTAGGGGTGAACATGTGCAGGATGCCATCAATCGCCCCTCGCAGCAGCAGCCCCCGAACCAGGAAGCAGGCCAACACCACGTAGGGGAAGAGGGAGCTAAAATACATTACCTGCAGAGAAGACAGAGACCCCTGTCAGGCAGAGCCCCTTCTACAGACAGCACCTCCCTTCCCTGCTCACAGCTGGGGCCCATGAGCCTCCTCTGATATCAGGCAGCAGAACTTGGAGCCTGGAGCCCCCAGGCACTGAGCCAAACCCACCATCCATCTGGCCCAAGCAGGAGCAGAACAAGCTGGAGTCAGCATGGCTGTGCCTGGAGCTAGTCTGCTTTTCAAGAGCTGGCAGGACCGAACCAGCAGTTTGTACTCCTAAGTCTCATGTCCCTAGTAGACAGTTCCAGGATCTCCACTGTCCTCAGAAGTTCTATAGCAGAAGACATCTAGGGGGCCTTGACGCTGTTTCCCAACAGAGCCCCATCAGAAGAGAGAGTAGCCTCTAGGGCATCCCGAACCTGAACCACATGCTTCTTGCTAGTTCATATATGTCATGCACCTCTCTACAGCCCCGTGCTCCTGGCACAGAGTCACGCACAAAGAATTTGATCATGGGACCTCGGCTGCAGTGAAACCAACCCTGGGGCACTTAGGACAGGGCAACAGAAAGGCTAAGAGCTATCTGCATGAGTACTGATCCTGCAGCTACCATCAACCAATCCTGGGGCCTCAGGCTACCTGCTTAGTATGCATCCATCTCCCCATCTCTTAAGGGCTGCAATATTCTTAACTCATAACGGTGGTGAGAGCCAGGGATATGCAGATGTGACAGCCCTGATAAATGTCATGAAGTGTCAGCTACTATTCCGGCCTCTAGAGAGGGAAGAGGCTGGTGGCTGAGATGTTACCACCTTTCTGCAACTCAGAATCCTGACTCATCAAGTCTGACAAAGAACCAAGAGCCTCAGCTCAAGCCCTGGACCTGGACAGACTAGCTGTAAGACCTTAGAGGGGGCTCTTTCCCCAGTACAGACCTCAGTTTCCTTCTCTATAAAATGAGTGGAGGAGACATCTCTATCAGATGTCTGTCAGTCTTTCCCTCCCTGGCAGCCCATGAATTCTGCGAGGTCATAAATAATAAGGATTGGAAATGCTGGGAAAGAAGGACAGGGCTGGGCTGTTATGACTTTCACTGGCTGGACTGTTTGGGGGCCCCAAGCTCTCTGCAGCTCTAACTGCCCTTTATCGGCAGACAGCATAGGGCAGAGTTTCATCGAAAACTGCTTAGACTGCCCAATGCAAGGGCTGTTGCTTAGGAACCTGGGGATGCACCATCTAGATATCAAGGTCAGTACCTCTAGCTCCTCGGTGTTTGCAGGGCAGGCCGAAGCTATAAGCACCAAAACAGATGGGGCCCCAGTAACAACTACCCAGCAAGTTCATCCTTGGGCTGTCTGTGGTGGTAATGCTCCCACCCTTCCCGTGAGGCTATTGCTGTCGCTCAAGTATTCTTCCCCTGTGGCCTGGGATCCGAGCTCCTGCTCTCTGGGTCCCGGTTGCCTTTTCCCAGCTCACCTTTCCAGAGGACTGGATACCCTTGACTACAGCCATGCCCACGATGCTCCAGGCCACAAGGAGGCAGAGTGTCATCTTCCAGTTGAGGCCCCCACTCTCTGAGATGGAGTTGGAGATGTCCAAGGCCTCTCGGTACCAGAAGTAGGTAGTTGCTGAGCTCTTCTCACACTCGGGCTCCACCACTGAAACCACAGGAAAGGCCACAGGGCCTCAGCTTCCAGCCCTATGGCCGTCTCCTGTGGTGGACCCTGCCCAGGCAGCAGTGGGTGAGTGGGTAGCTGGAGGAGGACTGTGCCATGATCTGGCAGAACCCGAGGAATCCTGAGTTCCTGGTGGGACCTATGAGCCTTTGAGCCACAATCACATGGCTGAATTCCCACCTCGACCGTCTTCTGCTCACAAGTGCCAAATTTGTCTAAAGGTTCTTGGGGAAAGGCCCTGAGACAGAGGCTGGAAATCCAGATGTCAGGTCACTGGTTAGATGGTCAGCATGAGCGTGGGAAAGGGGGCTACGGGATCTGTTTTCCCGTCTATGGAGTGGGGCACACAAGTCACAACTGTTCTTAGACATATGCTATTGGAGAAACAGAGTAGTTCATAATAACTAAACAAAACTCAATCCCTGAATCCTCTGTGTGCTAGGCTAGCAGGAGATCAGTAGATCATTTCCTCAGGAGAAGGAGAAAAAAAAAAGTATTGGGGTGTGAAGTGAGTTCTCCAAGGTGACTCACTGAACCAATAAAACCCAAAATCTTAGTACTAAACAGTTTAGACTCCTTCCCGGGACGGTGCTGGCTGGAGACCACAGCTGGGGTTCCTCCAGGGTCCCCACACTTGCCTGCCACAGTCCCATTCCTGATGACAGGGCATTCGCTCCAGGGCAGCGGGTACTGGAAGGACTTGAAGAAGTAGAACACGCTCCACCCAATGATGACATTGTAGTACAGCCCAACGAAGAGGCAGACCTGAGGGCAAGGACCAGGGTAAGATCACGGAGGCTGCAGGTAAAGCCGCCCCTGCCTGTACTCCATCCAAGGCGCAGCAGCTCAAAACCAGCCCTGATGGAGGATGTGGGCTGGGTGAGCGTGGGGGGGGGGGGATGCAGAGATGGAGCAGGGGTTGGGGGTCTGCTCCCAGTCCTCCTCCATTCATCTGGTACTCAGACAGTCCACAAAGGAATTCCTGGGATATTAAAATTTTCTCCTTTAAGCAATAAACTCTTAAAATGTTAATTCTTTCCAGTTTGAAATTCCTGTGAGATACTTGAAGCCCTTCCCCCATCATTTCCTGATGACTCGGGACTCTAATCAGAGATGCCCTCCAGGACCACGGAGACACACCACAGTAATGGTCCTTTTAGGCCCAGATAGTGGCACTTTTTGAGATTGTGTGGATTGCTGGTTTTTCCACCTCTTCCCTTTTCTCGGGGGCTGCTCTTCCTTCAGAACAGCAAACAGCCTGCTTCTAGCTTCTAGAGACAAAGCAGTAAGCTTGGCAGAGTTTTATTAAACTAGGCGGGATCTAGCAATGTTTAACAGGCAGGGTTTGGCTGCATCTGCTCCGGATGCTCCGAGGGCCCTTCCAGAGGCCTAGCTGTCCCAGGCGATTCAGATTGCTTGTTAGTGTGAATGCAGAGAGCTCCTGGTCTCTCCCATTTCACACGAGCAACTATGTGGAGGAGCACATGTTCACATACACAGAGAGAAAACGAGGGAGGGGGCTGCACTGGAATAAACACGCAGAGAAGCAGCCCTTCCCTTAACTGTGTTGTTTCCAGCACAGGTAGAGGGTTCCCCTCCTCGTGCGTGTCCAAACATGGCCAGCCTGGTGTTTACACTGGAGCTGGCCATGGGAAGGCGATGCCTGGTCTGACATCAGGATAATCCTCCTACTGTGTTTGACAGAAACCTCAGTCCCTTCCAGAAACTAATTCCAGTTTTTATCTCAAGTATGAGAGTGGTCACCTGCAGGTTTCACCTTCAAGGGATGCTCAGTTTCTTTAGTTGTATACAGCTCTCAGCAAGATTTCACCGACAGCCACACAGATGAGCCCGGAAGTCTCCATCCGAGGCCCGGGAGGTCTCCCAAAACCTTATGCCTCCTGGGTTGGCCATAAGGTGCCCGTCTGAATATTTCAACTGTTTATTGAAATAAATTTATGGCGATCTAGCAAGGCATGCTAAGCCACGTACATTTGAAACTCACTTCCCAAGGAAAGGGAAAAGAGTCCATGAGGAACTGGTAAGGAGTGGTGGGGACCTGGATGGTCCATCTGTTCCCGGATGATAAGGACTGAGATATCCTTGTGAATGTGCCCTGTTTTCCCTCTTTTGCCTCATTTGTGAATGTCGCATATGGTTTCTGGCAGTGGCATCAACTGCCAGTTTAGGAAATGTGGTGACTATGGCCCTGAGACACCATCTGTGAAGAATCTGTTGATGACCCCTCTCGCTCCCCTTGTGTCGGCCCAGGACTCTGGCCTGTAAACCTGGTGACCTCCTCCACACTTTCCCAAAGTGGACCCTCTGCCTCCCGCCCAGTGCCAGCCCCCAGCTCTGAACTCACAATACAGCTGGAGAAGCCGATGCCCCCCAGGCGCGGGCACACGTAATGCCACACACCAATGCTGCCACGGCGGATCCTCTGGCCCACAGCCAGTTCCAGAAAGAAGAGAGGGATGCCAATGATGATCAGCAGCACCAGGTATGGTACCAGGTAGGCACCTGCAAGAAGAAGAGAAGGTGCGGATCAGAGGGACAGTGAGGGAAGGGGTGGCAGCCGTGCCCAACAGTCTCAGACATACTGTGTGGGCAGGGACAACAATGGAAGGGAAAGGTGGCATGTCCAACAGACTCGGGCACAGCTTAGGCCATCTGGAGCTTCCCCGTGAATGCTGCTGCTCAAGGCTGTGATTTTTATCTCCAACGCTGGCCCATTCAGACTTTTCCTCTCCTTGATCCTCTGACTCGGAGCATACGGACACCACTGCCTTCCACTCGCAGGCTGGATTCAGAAGCCAATACCTCATTGCCACTCAGAGAGCCACGTGTCAAGTCACAGACACTGGCCTCATGCAGCACTCTGTGGACACCTGTCCACAACCCTCCCAGATGTCACGGGTCCTGCTCACTCATTCCCACCCACCCTCCCTCCTATTCTGTGGTCCGGCCTGCCGGCATCTGAGACAAATGCTGACACAGCAGACTGAACAACTCGAGAGAAGCCAAGCTTGGACGCTCTCCAGGGAGAGGATCTGATCAGCATCACCATTAATCCACAGCTAATTGGGAGGAATGGAAGAGAAATTAGTTGTTCAGGAAAGCGTGATAAGGGAATCATAAAGGATGGAATGATCTTGCTAAAGATTACAGATAACAAATTAATCTTGCTGTCTTAAACCTAGCTGCAGACACGATCTCAATTCTAGGTGACAGGGCATTTAGCAAGAGAATTAAGGCCACGGCTGGACATGGACGAGTGCACCCCACCAAGAGTTGTGCCAAGAACATAGCCCTGTTGGCAACACTATCAGTCAGGCCCTGCCTGTCAAACTGTCTTGCTTGTTCCTGTCTCCTGGGTTTCCTAGCACCTTCAGGGAAACCCGCTCAAGAGAGGAGTCTCTGAAAGCCCCGGCTACACTGCTCTATCCTGTAGTGGTATTTTATTTATGATCTAACAAATAAAGCTTGCCCGAAGATCAGAGTGCAGAGCTAAGCCACTAGTTAGTCATAGATGTCAGGCAGTGATTGCACAAACTTTAATCCCAGGACTAGGCAGACAGAGGCAGATGGATCTCTGTGGGTTCAAGGCCACCCTAGGCTACAAGAGATTGAATCTGTCTAAAAAAAAAAAAAAAAAGGTGATCCCAGCACTTGGGATCACATGCCTTTAATCCCAGCACTAGGGAGGTGGAGACAGGAGTGATATGGCTGGGCAGAGAGAGGAATATAAGGCAGGAGGAGACAAGAGCTCTGCTGCAGTTTGAGGATTCAGTCTGAGCATGCAGTCTGAGGTTTCAGAGACAGCAGTCAGTCTGAGAATCTGTAGAGACAGGATCGCCACTTCGGTCTGAGCATTGGTTGAGGTAAAGGTTCTCTAATGGCTGGCTCCTTTGCTTCTCTGATCCTTCAGCCTTTACCCCCAATATCTGACTCTGAGTTTTGATTATTAAGAACAACCAGAGTTCGTGCTACACTGTCCCCTGCAACTTACCCTTCTCAAGTGCACGCCTAATCTGCCAATGAACACTGGAGATCAGGCAACTACTGGACACAAAATCTGTCCAGCAGCAGCAAAAGTTGTTTACCATGGATCTCCTCCATGCCAGATTCAGGCTTTGGGGGATGCAGGAGGAACAGAAGACCCAGATGCCATCCTGGGAGACCTCGCGGGAGGCAAGTTCCTCAGATTCATTTAGGCAATGGCAGCAGGCACATTCTGGATTGGTCACACCACAGGGGGCCACCTGAGCACACATCTGCTGAGGGAACTCATGGGGAGAGCCTTCAAGAGAAGCTTCCCACCAAGTCTCACAGAGCAACATCATTTTAACACGCATGCACACGCACACACAAATGCACAAGCATGCACGCACATACACACACAAATGCACACACATGCATGCACGCATGCATGCGCAGGCACCCACCCACTCATTCATCCTATCACTCACCAGCAGCCCCATCAAATGCCCAGAAAAGGGAGGGCCTGAAAAGCCATGGGTATGGACCTCTAGTCTGGCTTGGTCTTTGGTGGAGAGAAACAGTAACAACAGAAGCAACTTACTGCAGGAGGATGACAAGGAGGAGCCTCGCTGGTGTTTTACTTTGTCTCAGGGTCCTCAGGAGGGACACAATGTACAGGGAGATGAGTGTCAGGCTGTCAGAGCACACTGCTGTCTCCTATGTACGTTTCTCTCCTCTTCCTACAGCTGGGGAGATCCTCTAAAAGTGATCTGTGGCCAAAAGGTAGACTGGCTTTCCTTCTGTCCAAGTCACGACTGCAGGTCACGGCCACATGGAGTTTAGTCTAGCCAGAGGGCTCAAGGCCAGGACACTCAGGTAAGCTGAACTCATAGTTAATCAAAGGCACTCTTGTGTGCCAATCATCACTGAGTTCATGCGGCACCCTCTTCTACCTCGGAAAACACGACCTGGAGGCAACAGTGTCTCTAAGGAGTCTCAGGGCTGAGCAGCCGGGAGCATCACTCAGGGCATTAGGACACGGGGTGGAGCCTGACTCTCTGCACTTCACCAGATCTCTCTATATATACCGTGCCTTGCTTTTGGCACAGCCCATTTATTTCTGGGGCTTAAGAGCTCATTTTTTTTGGCCTCCAGTCAATTGAAATATGGATAGAAAAGAAGCTGCGAACAGACTCTGTGATCAGATTATCAAAACTGGAATCCTGGCTCTGACACCTACTTTGCAACTTTGGACAAATTATTTGATGTCTCTTTGCTCTTATTTTGTCATAGATGCAGACAGAATGAAAGTATTAGACGAAGCCATAGGCGATGGCTGATGTGTGTCCATTTTTTTTATTTACAAAAATGTCACTCCATATTCCTCCACTCTCTAAAGGGTGTTGTGAAGAAGGAATGAGGTACTTTGAACAGGAAGGCTAAGCACGAATGCTGCTGTACAATCTTCAGGAGGTCTGGCTGGCAGAGGTGGGTCCCTGAGTGGGCCTTTGAGAGGTACAGCCTGTCCCTGATTCTGTATTATCCTGCTTCCTGCTACTCTGCCTTGTGGTGAGCTCCCCCAACGCACTTCCTCTGACACAGAGACTCATTCGCATTACCACCCTCACAGGCTGAGCTCCCCCGAAACCCTCAGACAAACTGAGTCCTTCCTCTCTCAAGTTTCTTCTGTTAGCTATTTTGTTCCAGTAATGAGAAAAGTAACCGATATAAAGGTGAGGTGTCCCTCTCTGAATGGAGCAGAAATTTTGGGAGAGGCTACAATGGTAGGAACTTGCCGGCAGGAAGAAGCTAAGTCAAAATGCCTAGGAAGCTGTAGCTATCCAACAGGCTGGAGCGTGGTGGTCCCAGGGCAGGGGACTCAGGAGCTATGACGTTCCCTTCATAGCTTTCATAGAAAGGATAGCTTTCTCAGGAACACAGGCGTGGGCTTGGAAATGCAGTTTCTAGCTTTCTGTGTTAGCACTAACTGTCAGCTTGACTACAGTCACGTGAGAAGAGAATCTTGGCTGAGGGATTTCCCAGATCAGACTGGCCTCTGGTCCTGTCTTTCAGGGATTTCCTTCATTAGTAATTGATCCAGAAGAGCCCCGCCCACTATGGGCGGCACCATTCCCTGGGAAGCTGGTCTGGGCTATAAAAGAAAGCAAACAAGGCGCTGTACTGTGAGCACAGCAGCAGGTACTGTTTCTCCGTGATTCCTTGAGTTCTTGCTTGATTTCCTGCCCTGATTTCCCTCAGTGATGGCCTGTGTCCTCACTGAAGTTGCTTTTAGTCAGTGTTTCATCACAACAGAAAAGAAACGAAAACATGAGCCCACCAAGGTTTTCTTTATTTTCTGTAATCTTCCCATCATTTCAAGCCAGCCTGCCTCTGGAAAATTCTGATAAACTTCCACACTCTGGAGAGACAGCCAGTGCCTAGGGATATCTGTCTGCTCTGGGCTTTGTCAGCACCGACGACAATTTTATAGGACGCCACACGCGCCAAAGGAATTTGTAACCAGGTGCAGTGTGAGGCTCCTCTACAGGCAGCCAGCCCATGTGGTGTAATGTGCACAGGCCACACCCACCAGGTGGAATCCCACAGCATTAAGCCTTCATGTCACATGACCTGGGAAAATTACCCAACCTCTCTGTGCCTTGGTTTTATAGTCTCTAAAGTAAAGACAATGACCTTCTCCTTAAACAAGGTCGCTGGGAGGGATGGATGGATGACCCATGTGAAGCTGGCGCTTGGTTGTTCCAAGATGCTCAAAGAGGAGGAGTTAAGCCATTAAGCGCTTACAACCGTGCTTCCTGTCTCTAAGTGTTTGATAGTAACAGCCAACAGTTGTTCTTTACCAAGGTAGTATATAAAATTCACTTAATCCTTCCAACTACCAAGAGTAGACAGGAAGCACTCTTATGTTCAATTTACAGGGTAAGCACTGACAAGCAGAGGTCCAGCAGCTTGTACTAGGGACCAGGACTCACTGGCTATGCTAGAATGGGATCTGAACCATGGCAGTCTGGAGCCAGAACCCCATTCTTATCATAACCTCCAGCCTTTTTATACCTATGAGCCACTGTGTGACTCAATGACTCTTGTTATGGAATTCTGCACTCCTATCTCTAAGGACTCCAGGTCTGCCTCAGCAAAGGCATGGTCCTTTCTACCCCAGCCCAACTCATTTTCCAGGTACCCTTGATCAATCACGGTTACCTCTTACCTCCTCCATTTTTCTGGCACAGGTAGGGGAACCTCCAGATGTTGCCAAGACCCACAGAAAAGCCAATCTGGGCCAGGATGTACTGCAGCTTGCTATTCCAGGCCGGCCGGTCCTCTGCATCCAGCTCCTCCTCCGCTGCCTTCTGCTTGCCACCTGTCTCGCCGGCCACATTCAGTACACTCTGCTTATAGTCCACAGGCTCCTCGAGGGCCAGCAAGTCAGCCACGGACTCAGTGACATGCTCATTGCTGTGTTCGCGCTGTGTCACCTTGCTGTTCTTCGGCATGGGTGCCACCGGGGCTGTGTAGCCCTGTTCCCCAGCACACAGAGAAGGTGGGGTTCGGCTCCTGTCAGCTCTTTCTCATCCAAAGGCCTGTGGAAGCAGATAAACAGCAGAGGATTGGTGGGCAATGCCAGAAATAGGGAGCCCAGAGTATAGAGACAGAACCCAAATCAAGTACCAGGATATATCCCATACTGGCCCCCAGTTTCCAAGTGTTGAGTTCAATTTTGTCCCCAGCAGGATGATCACTGGGGAGCTGTTTTCCCATAGGTGTTACCTGGGTATCACTAGAAGGTGCTGGAAACCTAATGGGGCAAAACCTGCAAAACCCAAATACAGGTCCTCTACCATGACCTTTATCTTTCATCATCATAGCCTAGAGTGGTCAAGACCTCTGGAGATACCCAAACTCTTCCCCTTCTGAGGTAGTGTGGTTGTGACTCACACCTACCTCTGTGGTGTTCTATTAGCAAAAACCACTTGGTGGGACCCTGGGGTGGTAGTTAATTTCAACTGTTAACTTGATGAATTAAGGAACACCTTTGAGTGTTTTAAGAGGGTGTTTCCAGAGAGGATGAAGCAAGGGGGTACTATGCACCCTGAATGTGTGCCAGGCTACCCCATTGGCCGAGGTCCCAGATGGAGTAAAACGGGTAAAAGGGAGCCAATAAGTCAGCCTTCCCTTTCCAAGCCTCCTAGTCTGTGCAGAGAGGAGAAAGCAGTCTCATGTGCCCACCTGCCACTGCCCTCACCACCATGCTTTTTCCCCGCCACTGACTGTGTTTCCTTAATTTATAAGGCAAAAGAAGTCCATGGTAGTTTTAATGTAATTGGTCCCATAAGCTCCACAGGGAGGAGCGTTATTAGGCTGCATGGCCTTGTTGGAGTAGGTATGCCCATGTTGAAGGAAGTGAGTCATTGTAGAGGCAAACTTTGAGGTCGCATATATGCTCAAGCCATGCTCAGTGACTCAGACCACTTCCTGTTGTCTGCAGGTCAAGACATATGACCCTCAGCTCCTTCTATGTCTGCCTACATGCTGCCACGTCACACCGTGATGATAACAGACTAAACCTCTGTAAATGTAAGCCACCTCAATTCAATGCCTTTCCTTTATAAGAGCTGCTGTGGTCATGGTCTCTCCACAGCAATAGGAATCCTAACTAAGACAAAGGCCTTCTTCTCTTAAGTTGCTTCCTGTCAGATCTTTGGCTACAGCCATGAGACAATAACTATACACACAGAAACTCGGCGTCTGACTTCTCTAAACTCTTCTTTGTCAAAACATAACCCATGGGCCAAGGAGTCACCAGGAGTTCGGTAGAAATGAGAGCCTCCCTAGGATTCCGAAGGCTCCCTGAGTCTCACTATGGGGATCCTGGACAGTAGCTACCAGGTTCCTCTAATTTCCCTGGCAGGAAAGCTGCCCAGGCTCCGCTATGGATTCTGGCACCAGAGCCCTCGAAATGTTTGCTTGGTGCCAACAAATCCTGGGTCATTGCTCAGCACTGACATTATCTGAGGGCCACTGCAGCCAAGAGCTGGTTCTCCATCCTTTGAGAGACAGCTTTATGGCAGATAACGTCTGCACAACATGGGCGGGGGTGGCAAAGCCCTCCCCTCCTCTGCCACCCCTCATTTGTCTTTTACACTTTCCCTTACAGAAAGGAAGCACCAAGAAAACGAGTGCTTTGAAGAATCCAGCGCTCTGTTATATTTCAAGGCACCTCCTCATTAAGCAGAGGCTGGAGAATTTAAAATACAACACACACACACACCCCAGCCTACCGTTGCCCTGCATCTTTCTAGGGATGTAAATTAGGCAGCTCTGTAATTACTTTATTAAGGGAACAAGCTGTCTCTGGAATCCAGGCTTGCTATTCTTCTCGTGTGTCTGTGCCCCCTGAAAAGCACAGGCAAGGTCACTGTGCGGCAGAAGGGCACAAGGGATTCTTGCTTCTGGGGTTGATGCAACCGTCCTGGCTAACTCCAGCCAGGACCTGACCAACCCTGCTGCATGTGTGATAAACCTGTGAGGCCTTATGATGACAGGGGTGGGGGCATCCATGCTAGTCTGTGAGACTGGCTAGCTCTCCCCAGGCCAGGCTGTGGAGCACAGCAGTAGGTAACACTGACCTGCACTCTTTGTTCAAGAACAGCAGTGAATCTTTTGCAACTGCCCTCTCCACGCCAGAAACAAGACATCAAGGTCTTGGGCTTTGGAGGAACCAGGGCAGAGTCAGCCTCAGAATTCCTAATAAGACATTCTGTTGAGACTCCACAGTGGGCTAGCTGAGTATCCCATTGCATCCTGGAAGATGCCCCAAGTTGGCACAGTGGGCTAGTTGAAAATCGCATTGTGTCTCTCTCTTTTATGGTTTGCCTCTCAGCACAGGAGAGGCCCTGGGGAGACAGGCCAAGGAATTTGTGTCCCACTTTTCATGGGTGTCCTCTGAAGCATGAGAGAGTACCTAGGTAACCAACTGAGACTTCTGTGCCCCTTTTCCATGCCCCTAGAGGGTGCCCAAGGTGGCACTTGTGTATCTGTGGGCTCTTCAGCCCTCAGGACTCTCTTCCCCGCTGCCATGTAGCCCATGCTACACAATGAAGAGTACTACAGAAGTTATGTTATAGGGAGGCCTGTGCCTGGACCTGGCATGTCAGGGCGAGTGCCCCCATGGACCCCACGGCACTCAGCTGGAGGAAGCCTAAGGAATTCACACGCACTCCTTGTCTGGGAACCTACTCCTCCCCTGCAACTAACCTTGAAAGCTTTTACTGCAGATTAGAGCCGGGGATACTGGTTGTGGGGTCTGGAGATTGCAATCTGGGATGCCTTGGCTTAGAGTTTCCTCCAGTTGTCTTTCTCACACAGGAGTTCAGGAACGTTCTGCAGTGCATTAGGTCTGATCATTAGGCTCGAAGTGGAAAAAGCCGGGGGAGATCCCACCAGCTGCAGAATCCGTCTCGATGCTAACCAGCTAGAGCATGTTTCCCCTAAATACCTGGAGAGTAGCAGCTCTAGCCGCTAATGTGGAAAAAAAAAGTGCCACCACTTTCAGCTAGGAACACTCAAGGACAGAGGCAGCACACAGTTGGGAAGACAGAGCTGCTTGACCAGCAGCCACAGGGCCACACTCAGTATGGCTTTCCTCCTCCTGATGTCACTCAGAGTGTCCTCCAATCTGTGAGATGGTGCCCAGGGACCCCTGTACCACTGCAGGACGCAAGCTCATGTTATGAGCCTGTAAGCTGCACTGCTGGGCTGTAGCCACAACGAGGAAGTTTTGAATCCAGTGATACTTCCAGGTGATGACCCAACATGACATTGGGTATACAGATATACATATATGTGCGTGTGTGTGCATGTGTGTGTGTGTGTGTGTGTGTGTGTGTGTAAACTAAGGCTCATAGAGAGGAAATACATTACTCAGAGTACTCAGGTCCTCCTGACACCCTAAGAGGGTATCCTGCCAGGATTGATGCTGTTGATCTGGGGGGAGGGGTTGCAGGAAGAAAGCAGGCATCCCAGGATCTGTTCTGGGGAACGTGATGCTGCAGTGAGCATGACAGACCCCCTTTCTTTTGGAGGGCCAGGTACTGAAGAAATAAATATCAAATGTAATGGCCAGGGGTGATGTGCGCTGCAAAGAGGAACAGCATGGGCAGAATGGCACCAGCTGCCTTCATGCTGGGGAGGAAAGAAGCCAGGAAGGGCATCATCTGGAGCAGAGGCCCAAATGACAGAAGAGAGCACTAGCAGAGATGAAACACACACACACACACACAAGCGTGTGCGCGCACACGTGCACACGCACTCTCTCATGTATGCACACACGTGTGCATGCCCACACTTATGAAAGGAAGCTCTGTGAGTAATTCAAGAACATCAGTGTGACCCAAATAGCCAGGGTGAGGAGGGAGAACAGGGAAAATATGATGGGTAGTAAGGACTTGGATGGGCATTCTCCATGAAGTGTTGAACACATACTAGCCCTGGAAAAGACCCATTAGTTACCTAAGTGCCAATTCCCTCGTGATGAAAATGGCTCTATTTAATGACAGGCTCCCTCTCCCAGAAAGCTAGAACACATGGCTGGAAGTGCCCAGCACAGAGCTAGGGCCCAGCCACCAACAGCTGCAGCCTGAAGGCCTGGCAGTATTCATCTTTGCACGTTAAACTATGTAAGAGCTCATTTATATTTGCTTACATGATTCTCCTTTCTCCTCAGAAAGAACCGGAGTGGCGGGGTGGTGGTGGCGGCGCACGCCTTTAATCCCAACACTCAGGAGGCAGAGTCAAATGGATCTCTCTGAGTTTCAGGCCAGCCTGGTACACAAAGCAAGTTCCAGGATAGCCAGGGCTACACAGAGAAACTCTGTCTCAAAAAAAAAAAAAAAAAAAGAAAAGAAAAGAAAAGAAAAAGTAAGAAAGAAAAAACCAGAGTGAGCAGAGGGTGTGAGAGGTGGCAGCTGGTTGAAATGGCCACCTTTTTTTCTTTTGTGTTGCTGATGGTCTAACCCAGGGCCTTGTGAGTGCTGCCACTGAGCTACATCCACACCCCGGAAATGCTTCATTCTTCATAGCAAGAATGAGACCCTCCTAAGGCTTCTCACCAGCACCCCACTCATCACATCCTAAACCCCAAAAGAGCCAAGTAAACACCACCAGCTCCAGGTGGTTTGGATCCAAAACCTCAGCAACATTATTTATAAAAGATAACTATTAGTAATAAAAATAGCTCATAGTTCATATATATCATTTGCGATCATTTGAAGCCATTAAACATTTTTGTGCACCATGCTGGTATAGTATGGAGTATTGATTATGTTGGGCTTGGGTTCAAATCCCAGCATCACTAGGTATCAACTGCCCAGGTTTCGGTTCCCTCATCTGTCACAGGTATATTCTAAAGTGTCCCTCACAATGCCAAGACTCAAAGAGATTCTCACAAATGCTTCTCTCTATGGGCTCTCTTTTGAGCTCCACTCCAGCTCAGGAAAGCAAGCAGTAAACTGCACGCGTGTCATTTACACATGAGAGCACCCAGAAAAGGGCCACACTTCACAGGTCTACTCCTCTTCCTGTT